CCCCCATTGTGGTTAACAACCGACTCAAATGCACATACAGCCCATGAAGAAAAAAAAGAAATTCAATTTATTTGAAACCCTCTAGTTTTCCGGATTTTTCATGCTCTCATTGTGATCCTCCAACGAAAAATTGTTAGTGAAGTGGAACATAATGACCATTACACTTTGTTCTACAGCGATGGAAAAAAAATTGAGGGTAAAAATTTCGTTAAAAAACTTTGTAATTAGTTCTCGAGGAGAAAAATTTTTTTTTTCCCTCGAGTACTTGAAAAGTTTCTGATTAAACAAAGGGCGGTTTTTTAATAGCAGCGGGGAAAAAAGAAGGGAAAGATGATAGCTCGGACTTAGAAAGGGGGCATGAAAGGATCTCACATTGAATGAACTGGGAGAAAAAAAATTTCATGATTAAAACAGGAGAGGAATCGTGTTTTTTTTTTGTTTCTGTGAAAAACCTAAATGTTTTTCCTTCTATTCGCAGTGGATTTTTTTTACCGACATGTGGTAATGCCTGTGTGCGAGCTCACGTACCACCTCTTTCGAGTTGCTGCGCTCCTGCACCTTCACTTCTTTGATTTCCTTTATTTTTTTTTATTTTTTTAGGATTCAAACTGGCGGGTAAGAGGCTTTTCGCCAGTGAATAAAGAGGGCCGAAATGAGGGTTTCAAATCCGTTGGAACAATTTCAGGGGAAAATGCAAATGGGAGATTTTGATCTGTAACTAAGGTTTTTCTTTTTTTGTTTATTGGGAATTTGGAAGGAATAACAATACGATTTTTGTATTATTTTGATTTTGAGAGTACTTTTTTGACTGAGAAGTTGTATTTTCATTTGTATTTTTACCATAACTGGAACATAAATGGATATATTAAGCCGAAAATTTTGATAATATAACTAATTAACATATTTGTTCTCAATTTTTATTCGATATCAACGGTGTACACGATAATTTAGATAATTTTCCTTTCAAAATTGAGGATAAATTAATTTAGAGTAATGACTGAAATTGTGCTCCTAGACAATAAGATCCCTTCGATAGACAGATTAAATTTGCGGTAACGATCAAGTCAATAACATATTACCAAAAACTGGTCTTTAGCCTCAGTTGAAAACAATCATGTATTACTCATGTTTGCCCTCTGGGGATTTTATGTTTCATAGTGTAAATGCGTCGGGTTTTAAATACTTTGGAATAATTTCAAGGGAAAATGCAAATCGGAGATTTTGCACTTCATAACAGCAGAGTTCACGAGAATCTAGACAATATTCATTATGAAGTTGAGGATAAAAGAATTTAGAATAACGACGTCAATCGTTTTCCTAGACCGCAACATCTCTTCGACAGACTAATGAAATCTACGGTAATGCCCAAGTCAATAATATTTATTAATTGAAATACAAGTTTTTCCCACAAGTAGACTTTAGTTTTGAGTGAAAACAGTCATGCATTACTCATGTCTCCCCTCCGGAGACCTAGTGTCCCAAAGGATAAATAAATCGCTTCCCATCTGCCTATCCTATCTGTCCGCTGCTGATGGAGACATGCTTCAGAATAACCCGAAAAATTTGAGGAAGAATATATTTACAAAAGCAAGAAACCAATGTATTCTACCAGTGCTTTTGTAATATTCCCCCTTTTTTCATTTCTTGAAGTTAGCCTTGGAAAGTCGCCAACCATGCTCTCATTATGAAAGTTCATGTAGCCGATGCTGTTTTGTAATTTCCCTGGCGTATCTCACAGCTTTAACGCCCACCCATCTCCTTCATTCTCTCTCCCTCCTCCATCTACCCTGAAACCCTTCCATCTTCAACTACGGTTCTTGTCCCGCGAGACTTTAACGAAAGTTTCGAATATCCGGCTCTGGGCCATCGTCCTAACTCCCTTACTAATTCAAGCTTCTTCTTTTTTTGTTTATGGAAAACTTTGTTGGAGGGGGAAAAACCGAGCGACTACGGTGTTGCACGTAAAATATGTACGCAGAGTTTGGTATTCTCTTGGATTAAAAACAAGTTAAGACGTAGGGAGGGAAGTACGGGAGAAACATTTGCTAATTAAGTTTTCTTTGGCAGTGCTGTACAGCGAAGTATCCGATGAATTTTCGCAATCAGTGAAACCTAAAAAAATCATTGAGCGTTTGCGTCACAGACTTGATTTTTCTAAATGCTCGTGACGTCAGTGAGAAGTACTTGCATTGAGCTTAAACAGAACGATTTTACGATGTATCAACTGTCCCTTTTGGTGTGAATTATCTTTCTCAATTGATGTTTAGGAGATAAACTGAGGCGAAGCCTTACATTCTTCACAAATGATCGAATGATTAATGATTTTCATTATTAAATTCCTATGCGATTGATGATAAATTGGTAACGAATGGATCATTTTGGGGAATTTTAATACAACATTTATAGATTTCTGGCGTGAATTAGAAAAGTAGGATAAGTGCATTTTTTTTTTAGAAATTTTACCCGAAACCAAATCGCTTTCCAATTATTGGTGGGAAGTGATTAAACAAAAAAACGCATTTATGCTAGTTTATCAATTAACGAAAGATTTCCATTCGTCCATCCATTCTTCTTAGATTAAAATGAAAGAAGCGAAATTTAAAATGCATCGACTGTTCTTTTTAGTATGATTTATTTTGGCCGTGACTATTCGCACCATTGCGTAAATCACTCCCGTACACTCCA